GCAAATATTGCTGTATTTTATGCACCATCCAGTTTTTCCTGATGTGAAAATGTGTATGTGCCAAACTTGCTTTGTGTTTGTAGGAATTATCCGAACTGCCCTTCCCAACATGGACAGAGAAGCTAAGGAGGAGTATCACGTGGTAATACAGGCAAAAGACATGGGAGGACACATGGGAGGCCTCTCAGGGACAACCAAAGTGACAATTACACTCACAGATGTCAATGACAACCCACCAAAGTTCCCACAGAGTAAGTAACAACAAAATCCTTACTCACCCTTACTGCTAGTCCCTGTGTTTGTATAGTATCAGCCATACTCAGAGCTTGAATAAACAGTACCTGCTGGATTATTACAGCACATGAGAATAAATTCTTGGTTACACATCTTCTGCTATTCACATATGGAGCTTCAGTGTCTGGATTGCTTTGTTTTGCAAAGGGAGACAGTTTTTAAGGGTTACAAATTAACCTGACACTTAAGTTTTGAAACTACTGGACATTGTTATATATTATATGAACAGAGAGACATAGTCTGGACTTCTCTGTTAATGAAGGAAGAAGCCTCATTTCTTGAGGGATATTTTGTGTGTTAAACCACTTCAGTCCAAAATACTGGAATGTGTACCTGCCCTGCAACAGTGCTGGGATAAACTGGTTTGTTTCCTTTCCACTTTCATAATTATAGCATGGACACCTTAAAAAAGTAAGTGGTGTTTATTACTCTGCTCAGACCACAGGAACTTCGAGAAATCATTACAGAGAAATAAGAGGAGGTTCAAACAAAAATCCCTGCAGGTATTTTGTAGGAACAGATCCTTCTGTGCTGGGGGAGCTGCAGGATACAGCAGTCAGTGTGTATGCAGCAGAAAGCTCCCCACTTAGGGCTGCAGCATTTGAAAGGAGTCTGGAAGTGGCCCCATGTCGTGCCTTTCACTGCTCCAAGTTCACAGCTATTTGCAAGCATGGCTATGCTAGTTCATTTTCAGTGAACAAATCCACTTTAGGTGGACAAAGGAAAGTAGATCCACTTTATGTTCTTACAGCTGTATTTCACAGCCTTGGAGCCTCTTACCTTTCTTGCCCCTTGATGAAAATGTTGCACAATCTGTTAGCAGCTCCTGATGATGCCCTTTCAGGCCTTTGACAGGCCTGCAGGGGAGTAAGCATCATTTTTTATTTCACATAGCCTTACATTTTAAGTATTGATGCATCACCCGGTACTTCTTTAAACACTCCTGGTGAATGGTGAATGTCCGTAAGGATAAAAGACTGGATACTCCTCAAGACTTCCATTTACCATGGCAAAACAAACTAAATTTAGTACAATTGCAATTTTAAGTCATTATTTTATACCTGTGCTATTTATTTTTCACATATAAAATTAATCAGGGCTGACATTAACAGATTCAGTCTTCACAGCTGGGTGGAAGTGCATTAATGGACCCACACATCTGTTCTGCATCTCATCTCTGCATGGCTGGAGGCTTTTTTTAGGAGTGCAGTGTAGACACCAGCCCAGCCCACACTGTTTCTCCTCTGAGCAACAGTTATGACACTGATACACCCTGGGCATGACCATCTCATCTCTCTGACAGCTCTTCTTCCTATGTTGCATCTTCCTGGACTCTCATGCAAGAGCTTAAACAACATAGTCAAGTCCCTAAATGTAAAAATCCATGTCAACATTTTCTACCATTCTAATAGGAAAGTATTAAATCCTAAACATGTCAGGGTTTACATACATTAGAAACATGCCTTTTCACTCCAGATCATCACCTGGGGCCCCAGTGTAAGGTATTCTGTTAGCTCCATCAAACAGTGGATTTTCTCTCCAAATTCAAGGCACTTTACTGAGTGTTTTGGAAGAACATTAAAAATATCAGAAATGCCAAATAGCAGTTGCTCTACTTAATCATTCACTCCCAACTTAAAAAACCTGGATTGGGAATGCTTTGTAAAAGAAACCCAGAATTTTAGGTGTCTATATAAAAAAACCCAAGTGATTAAATTCTTTTTTTTTAATTCTTTTTTTTTTAATTCTTTTTTCCCTTTTTCCCCCTAATGTTCATTGTTCAAGCCATTAATGAGTTATGTGCTTAAATTCTGGGATCTTTGTGACTGGAGTTAATGACCTATTTCAATGACATGTGCCAGTTGTTTTTATGGGTAATGAGCCAAGTCCCTGCCTGGTGTAAGTCTCCTGATGTTCCTAGGGTGCTCATGTAGCAAAAAAGAGCAATTATGGAGGGGAATAAATTAGATTATTTTATTTTCCCATGTTTGGGGCTTTTTTTCCCCTGCCCAATTTATTTAGTGCTGATGAGGTGGCAGAAAATGCTGACAGAGATTTATACATTTAGGATCAGGTTATGTTATCTGACCTCTGGAGGGGGTTGGGAAGGTCCTGGAATCAATACTGACTAAAGGACAACTGTTGGGGAGAGATTTATCCTGGAACACTATTGCTCTCCTCTGGTGTTCCTGAATACCCAGGGAAACACCTGTATGGCAACACATCTGTGGGATGTTTGGGGATGGTTTTCCTATTGGAGTTTGTTGTGGGAAAGCTGTATTTTGTTTGATGTGGAATCCTATGCACATTGGTATGTGTCCTCTGTGGTGCTAAATGTTGACATCATTGTAACTATGAATTCACACTCCAAATTAAAGCCAGAGAAAGCAGCAGATTTAGTCTTTAGCCAGCACAGCAGAGAGGCCTTATCCAATTCATTGTGTATGATTTATAGCTCCTGAATGAATGGGCAGAAATGATTCTGGGCTCTCCAGAGCTGAAGGTCATACCATGAGTCATATAAAAAGAGACTTTTCCTTCCATTTTCCTGATAGCATTTCTGATATAAATGATGACCTTGATGTCACAACAAATGCTGCATTCTGAATGACTGGCCTTCCTTTGAAGCCCACCCTGAACAGAGAGGTACAGTGTGTAAAACCTCCAGGAAGAGGTCATGTTATATAGATTAGCCATGTGTTTTAAGATTTTACAGATGACTTGATTCTCAGAGCTCTTTAGAACATAACACAACATCCCTTCAGGGGGCTTGGAAACGTAAAAAATGACTGTGTTTATTTGGAACTTCCAAGTTCAATGAGTAAATATGCGACTGGAGAGCAGACTGCATACTTAAGGCAAATGGCTGTTTCTTCCTCCCCCAGGTGTGTACCAGATGTCAGTGTCTGAAGCAGCTGTCCCAGGAGAAGAAGTAGGAAGAGTGAAGGCCAAAGATCCTGACATTGGGGAAAATGGCTTGGTAGCTTACAGTATCATCGATGGAGATGGCATGGATATGTTTGAAATCACAACAGATTATGAGACTCAGGAAGGAGTTGTAAAGCTTAAGAAGGTGAGTAGTACCTCCTAATGTGTAGTATTCTTTGTTGCTGACAGAATATTTGGTAATAATGGATTAGAACCTAAACTAAAATATTAGTAAATGCAATTTCACAGAATTAATTTCCAAAGGTGTGATTAACTCTTAATATTCCATTTCCCCAGTAGCTGAATTGGAATGGAAGAAAATAACCAAGAAGAGTTACATAAATACTGTACAGTGGACTAATTGCACAAACTAAATGAATTCATAATAAAAAGTCACGGTAAAATATGATGCCATCAGCTTCATTGTTAATGAAGTTTTGCCTAGTGCTGACAAGTAGCAGACATTCACTGTTGCTTTATGTTCAGTCTGAAAAGCCTCATGCCCTCTAGTTTGAATTCTTCAGCTGTGCATTGTCCACAAGAGTGTTCTGAAGGAGTCACAGGCTATGCAAAAAGCAGCAGAAATACTGAGATTTCCTATCCAAGCTGTCAGTGGGAGCTTTGAAAGCCTTATTCAATTCATTTCCAATTGCAAATTATAAATCATGAATCTTATTCATTATTTAAGCATTATTATTTTGCCCTTTGTATCTCTACAACTATTTATATATTTATGTATAGCTTTATACCCATTATCTCTCATGGAGATATTCAGAGCTCAAAGGAGAAGGCCTGGGCCACTTAACTTCCTTGTTAGCCCTGCCCTGCACATTGGGACAATTCCTCAGGAAGGGACCCAGAGGTCTCCCCCACTCAAAACTGCTTTGATTCAATTCTTGCATAAGTTCTAAAGGTGGTGTGGATTTCTTGTGTATTTTAAAGCATGGGCAAGCTGTCACACCCCTCGGTCCACAGTTATAACACACTTTGTCAATTGTGGGTGGCACCTGCATGAGCATTTTGAGGCTACCTGTACTTCTACACTGCAGCCACTTCATGCCAATGGCAGTGCAGATATGCTGTGACTTTGATCAGGCTCCCAAAAAGACTTACCTCATGGGGAATTATTTCACCTCCCCTTTGGAAAGTATTATGAGTTCTATGGATGGAAAGAACTACAGAATTAAAAGCAGTGCAAAACATCTTCATATTTTCCCCACTACTTAAATAATTTAACTTGTCTATGTCCTATTTCACGGGGCACCCAGTAGCAATTCAAGCCACATCTATGTGGAATGTTTGCCAGCTTGGGATAGACCAAGCCTGGCCTTTTGTGGGATGCCCTTTCCTATCCATTGCCCTTTTGTGCTACCTGGAAGGCTGCATGCAGAAAAGGTTAATTTTCACAGTACAGATGATTTCCTCAGTGACACAGCAAACAAGAACTCTGTTTTGATGTTTTGAGTGCCTTCCTATGCTGCTCCATACATAGAATGTAGCTCCTTCCATTTGAGTCTTTATGTTTTTAAATACACACATTTCAGTCCAAGCTTGTTGACAGATGCTCACATTTGTTTTATGTCATTGAACACTAGGGCACTGCTTGCTGCATTCACACTCTGGTTTTCCTAACTGTGGAATGCATTGTCTTCTTGTTTCTCACAGACCCTAGATTATGAAACCAAAAAGTCCTACAGCCTGAAGGTAGAGGCAGCCAATGTACATATTGACCCCAAGTTCATCAGCAATGGGCCATTCAAGGACACAGTGACAGTGAAAATAGCAGTGGAAGATGCTGATGAGCCACCTGTGTTTTTGAAGCCAAGTTACATTTTTGAAGTACAAGAAAATGCAGCATCTGGTACTGTGGTTGGAAAAGTACATGCCAAAGACCCTGATGCTGCCAACAGTGCTATAAGGTTTGCTGCATTCTCTCTGTTTCTTTCTAAGCATTAGCTTTCAGAATTGTTATGCAAGTTTTCAAGATGATTTGACAGATCTACATACACTGAGAATATTGATAACGTGAACCATCCAGCATTGTTTTATGCTTTGTTCCATAAGCTGCCAGTTCCTCAAGGCCTCTATTCTACCATAGCTATGTCTAAGTAAAATATACTTAAGGGCATCTGTGTTAGACTCTATTCTAAATTATATTTTCCACAAATACCCTGTGCTGTTATCACAGTATGCTTTTTTTTTCAAAATATAGAAGTCTAAACTGTAGATTAGAGATTTTGTTGCAATTGTTAAGCATTAATTGCTAAAGACAAGCACATACAGGCACCTACTTTCTGCAGTTATGTTGGAGAGTCCAGGAATCATAGAATGGTTTGGGTTGGAAGGGGCCTTAAAGCCCATCTTATTCCAAACCCCTGCCATGGGCAGGGTCACCTCCCACTAGCCCAGGTTGCTCCAAATCCCATCCAACCTGGCCTGGAACACCTGCAGGGATGGAGCAGCCACAGCTTCTCTGGGCAACTTGTGCCAGTGCCTCAGCACCCTCAAAGTCAAGAATTCTTACATTATAAAAGTCTTCTATTAGTTTATTTTTATTTGTCATGTTCTCAGTATGAATTAAATTATGAAGCTCTGTTTTGTGGGTACACTTAATATTTCAAAGACTTGTAATATGAAGATACGAAAGTCAGAGCTGTATAAAGCTGTATGAATGCAGATAGTGGATAGTATTTAATAAACTAGTATGATCAATTAATATTCTGAGTAAAGCAAAGATCAGAAGACTTAAAAGATCCCCATGATTAATATGAAACAGAAGAAAACATAAATATCTCAGCAGATATTTTTATCATGTTTTATAAGAGAAGAAAATAAAGACTATTTTAGGGCTTTAATACAGAGACTTCAAAGACATCAATTTTCACTTATTACAAACATCCTGATGTATGATTTTTCTAAATGTAGAAACCAACCAGGTGATTCTCCTTTTGAAAGTACACATATCATCCCTTTGACAATGATATTAAGGACAGCAATAAATGTACTACTTAGGATTATTACATAATAATGATACAGAACAAATTTGGATGCATGAAATTACTAAGTCCTTCTTTTCTCTAATTACTGATTTTCAATCTTTAGATATTCGATTGATCGTCACACTGACCTTGAAAGATATTTTACTATTAATGCAGAAGATGGCAATATCAAGACGATAAAAGCTTTGGATAGGGAAGAAATTGCTTGGCATAATATCTCTGTCTTTGCAGTTGAAGTTCGTAAGTATTTCACTGAGGTACTTTACAATCCATTGTATAAATTCTGTCGACTTCCAATTGTCTCAGTTTGATAAACTGCAATCAATCCCAATAGAAATATTTCAACCTATTTGACTTTTCCCTGGATGCAGCTGGGATTTTGTTTGTTTTCAGGGGTTTTCCTGCTTCTGCCTCACTTGGGTTTTGCTTACTCCTGTAGACAAACAACACCAGGAAGCCAAAGTTCCAGTTGCAATTAAGGTCGTTGATGTCAATGACAATGCTCCCAAGTTTGCTGCAGCCTATGAGGCATTTGTGTGTGAGAATGCCCGAAGCAATCAGGTATGCTATGACCCCCACCTTCCCTCTGCCTCCACCTTCCCTCTGCCTCCACCTTCCCTCTGCCTCCACCTTCCCTCTGCCTCCACCTTCCCTCTGCCTCCACCTTCCCTCTGCCTCCACCTTCCCTCTGCCTCCACCTTCCCTCTGCCTCCACCTTCCCTCTGCCTCCACCTTCCCTCTGCCTCCACCTTCCCTCTGCCTCCACCTTCCCTCTGCCTCCACCTTCCCTCTGCCTCCACCTTCCCTCTGCCTCCACCTTCCCTCTGCCTCCACCTTCCCTCTGCCTCCACCTTCCCTCTGCCTCCACCTTCCCTCTGCCTCCACCTTCCCTCTGCCTCCACCTTCCCTCTGCCTCCACCTTCCCTCTGCCTCCACCTTCCCTCTGCCTCCACCTTCCCTCTGCCTCCACCTTCCCTCTGCCTCCACCTTCCCTCTGCCTCCACCTTCCCTCTGCCTCCACCTTCCCTCTGCCTCCACCTTCCCTCTGCCTCCACCTTCCCTCTGCCTCCACCTTCCCTCTGCCTCCACCTTCCCTCTGCCTCCACCTTCCCTCTGCCTCCACCTTCCCTCTGCCTCCACCTTCCCTCTGCCTCCACCTTCCCTCTGCCTCCACCTTCCCTCTGCCTCCACCTTCCCTCTGCCTCCACCTTCCCTCTGCCTCCACCTTCCCTCTGCCTCCACCTTCCCTCTGCCTCCACCTTCCCTCTGCCTCCACCTTCCCTCTGCCTCCACCTTCCCTCTGCCTCCACCTTCCCTCTGCCTCCACCTTCCCTCTGCCTCCACCTTCCCTCTGCCTCCACCTTCCCTCTGCCTCCACCTTCCCTCTGCCTCCACCTTCCCTCTGCCTCCACCTTCCCTCTGCCCCCACCTTCCCTCTGCCCCCACCTTCCCTCTCTCCTCACCTTCCCTCTGCCCCCACTTTCCCTCTCTCCTCACCTTCCCTCTGTGCCCACCCCATAGTGCTTTCAGCTGGATATTAGCCCAGTTTTGCCCTGTCAGCTCCAATGAGTGGTAGTAAATGAACATTTGGTTTGAAAATTTGGCCAACATGCCCAGAGCACACACAAAGGCACTTTTCTGTTTTGTTATTTTGAACTGCTCCGTGCATTGGATATGATTGGTGCTGGCTGTGAGTATCCACCATCATACGGACACTGGGGCTGGTTGGGAGCAGCTTTTCTGGTTGGGAGCATGGTTTGGATAGCACAGAAATACTCAGCATCTGGGGGAAAGAATCCCAGAGCAGTGTTTGGAGATGCACTGTCTTGTGGGAACAATCCCAGTGCCGAGCTTGGAGACTTTAGCCAACAGATTTATCCCTGGCAATCTGGGAGGAAGAGGAGTTAGTATCAGACAGAAATACAGCTCTACACGTGATCTGTGCCTTTGCACTCAGTGTATCAGTTTGAAAAGGACTTTCTCAGCTGCTGAATTCTTCACAGCATTTTATTAAGCCTATTGGGCTATCATTAGCACAGATTTGTGTATACGAATATGGAAGGTGTCTATTTTTACAAGTATAATTCTGTGTTGGTTAAATGTAGTAGCAAATAAAGATTGCCTGTTCTAGTTTGGAGCCTGCTCTGTGTTTCTAATTGCATACACTTGTAGTTAGTGGGGGGGTCTGCAATTTCACAACTCTTTATATTCAAGAGCTGTCTCAGAACACTATCTGTATGTGATGAATCCAGAGAAGGAGCTGTTTGTTTACAGAGTGCTTTTCTCTTACAGCAATTTATTACAATTAGTGCTGATGACAAGGATGACTCGGCCAATGGACCAAGATTTATCTTCAGTTTACCACCTGAAATTATTCATAATCCAAATTTTACACTCAGAGACAACAGAGGTTTGTGAAGATTCACTCTATACTAGAGTCCAAAGAAATGACAAAGTAAAACTAATGGCCAATGTAATGTCATGCAACACCATCGTTGTTAATTTGGCAGAGTGTCTGTTTCCCAGAGATTTAGGGGAGGAAGGCAGAATATAGAGCTGAAATGGAAGGAATATTCTTGGAATAGCCTATGCTTGTTAATTCACTTTAATTTTCTTAATGCATATTTTAAATTGCATAATAATACTCTGCAGGAAGTCAGAGTCATTTTTTCTCTGAGGAAGAGGGTAAAAACCACTGCCAAACATTCACTAAATGCAATTGACAGATCTCGATTTGGAGAAACCTGACTTGCTAAACTAAAACTAGCTGAGACAGCATAAATTGTTAGGTTGCTTGTGTTTGTTCACTTTGCTTGCCAGGTTTGGAAATTGTGGATCACAAGAGACATGGGATAGACCCCAATGGGATCCAGTCACTGCTGTGCTAACCTGTTGCAGGAAATACAGATGGGGATTTCTGTTGTGAAACATACCTGGATATAGGTGTCCTGATCCCCTTACCAGTTTTCTGTTAATGAAACATAGTAGAGCTTTGCATTCAAATTAATGGTAAGTTGTCAGAAATTTGGAGGCAAAAAACCTCAGACATAGGTGAGTGTCAAAACTGAACTGATCATCTAACATAATAGCATCAGTGCCCCTAACTTGTCAGAGGCAGAGGAAGCCAGAGGAGAGGGTAAAAAAAAGAATAAATTTATTTCACGGTAATCAATAGGCTATTCTCATTCAATGTTCATTTTTTATTTCCCTGCACAGGACAAAAGCTGTTTCAGCTTCTAAGGAATTGGTTTTGATTAGGAAGCTTTAATGTTTGAAGGAAACTTGGCTCCTTTCTGTAAAGTAAAACTCAGTTGAACTGGTTTAAACAATGAATCCAAATGATTTCTTCTAGAGTGCCAGAAGTACAAAAGGCAACACAATCCAGATACATGATTTCAGTAAACCCTCTTCTGTTATGGCACACTTTATATCTCTATCCACACCTGAAGAGAGGGTAATTATCATCAGAGTTCCCAAACAAAATGTCTGGTGTTGTTGACTGATCAAAGCAATACTGTTGCCTAGTGCTTGACACTTGTACATACATAAGCAATTCATAAAGGAGCCAGTGCAGGGGATATATTTATTCTCTTTAAAGTAGTAAAACAAAAGTTTTGAAAAATTCATGGCTGTATTTTTAGAGAGAAGTAAATAAGAATGTATTCTTTGCTTGAGACCCCGAGGCCAAGTTTCGCTTTAAAATGTATTTTATGGTCACCACATCAAACTGAAAATAGATTTGATTTTATAATCTAACAGAGAAGTGTAGGTCAGAGTTGAGATGTTCTGATACAGCTGCAGGCAACTGGTATTATGGTTCCTGATTCCAGCCAATTCCATTAGTCGTTCATTTCCATATGCAGCAAATTCATTGGCAAAATTAACCCAGATAAAAATGTTTTGTAATTAAAATTAGGATGTCAGTTTAATAAAGTGTTTGTGCCCGACAATATTGCAAAAGACTATTTCAACAAAACAGTATTTAAGGTTTGAAATTTCCTCTATAATTTCATTTTTGGGAAGTGAATTATGTAATGAAATTCATCCATTCCCATCGTTTCTTTCCCTCATTTTGTACAATCCTCAGTGCAGTGATGTTGTTACTTTAACTATTTCTGTGGGGTGGTTTTAAGTAAGTTACGGTAGAGCAAAGTTAAAAAGTTAAAATTCTATGTGCTTCCATATAAAAAAACCCTCAGAGAGAATGTGTTACCATTTGCAAGTCAAATAATATACATGATCATTCAAAGTTGGGGTTTTTCAGTTGTAAGTCTGAGTATTCGATATACCATGCCACTGCTTTCAGAGGGAATTGCTAGTTTCAAAGAAAAATGGCTTTATTAACTGTGGAGAACAGTTAATGAAAACTCCAATGTTTGGGCCTATTACAGAACTTTAAAGTGAATACAGTCCTATAATTATCATTTAATAGAGTTTCTTTTTACCAACTCCTAAAAGTAATCACATATTGCAGTAATCCAAAAAACATAATCATGTTCTACATCCTATTAATAGCCTACTGTGTTACCAAGTCTTCAGCTGAGACTATCTTCCGTAGAAAACCTGAGATAATGGCTCAGCACACGCTGGGATAAAACACTGAATTACTTTTGCACTGTTTCCTTATATTATTCCACATAAATAAACAGCACCGTGTTTGCCCAAGCTCCGTTCAATTTCGCTCCCATTGAAGTCAGAGCTTCAAAAGAGCAGTAGAGGCTCATGACACTTCCCAGCAGAGAGAGAGATTTTTAGTAATGGATTTCCTGCTTTGAATCCTGCTAGTCCTAAACTGAGGTAACGGGCAGAAACTGATGCCCAGGAAGTTCCACCTGAACACAAGGAGGAACATTTTCCTGTGCAATCACTGAGCACTGAACAGATTGCCCAAAGAGGTCGTGGATTCTCCCTCACTGGAGGTATTCAAGAACCATCTGGATGCAATCCTGAGCCATGTGCAGGGAGGCTGGACCAGATACTCCACTGCAGTCCCTTCCAACCGAACTGATTCTGGGATTCTATGCAATGCCCTGGACTTGGGCTCCCTAACCTTGTGTGACAGCCTGGCATGTCACTGGCATTGCTGGAGGGCTTGTGACCACCTCACAGTTTGCTTTACAAAGCCTGAAATGACAAGGAAATCGGTGCCTAAAATCCACATTTTAAATAGAAATATGTCCTCTGGCTTGCAGTTTCATTGCATTTCAATTGATTCTTTTAATCAAGAAATTTTGAAACACGTGAACAATAAGGTTAGAGGAATTTGCCATGGATTATCCACAGTGATTGGCACTGCCTGGTGCTGATTTTAGACAGCTGGAGACCTGAAATCATTTGGGTTTCTTGCTGAATCAGCACTCACACTCTGATGCAGGTGATCATGTTCACACTGCAGCCATCTCCTTTAATCTAGAATCCTGCTTGCACAATATATATGTTAACAAGCCTGAAAAGCTAAGCTACATTTGCCTTTATGTAGAGGAAAAACTGGATAAGATCAGCAGAGAAACAAGACAAAAATCAAAGGTCAGGGAGATCAGTATAAAGCTCACCATGAAATAATGCAGTTTAACTTCTAATTGTGAAGATTTGATGGAAAGTGAAGGTAATCTTCACTTACAATACCTTTGGATATTGGATATCCCAGGCAATAAGAGCTGGGAAAATGAGAGCTTGTGTATTTTTGGGGATGGTGTTGAGGTGGCTGTTTTCTTCCTTCTCGCTTGTGTTGGTTAAGGCTGTCAGTCAAGTCACTCCCATATGTGTTAAGTAATAGTTTTAAGCTGGTATTGACATTTAACTTGTGTTGGTTTAAAAAATGCCATTTTATCTGGATTATGGTTAGACTCCTGAGGCTTGAAAATATTAAAAAAGCAAGAATGAGAATATTAGCTAGGATTAGATGTTATCTTTTATATAGGTAAAAGGGTTTTTTTCCCTCTTATGGATATTATGTTTCTTCTAAATGTGAGAAGTGAACATAAACAGTGAAAAAAAAAGTTTTAAAAATGACCTTTTAGGCTTGATATATGATGGCCTTTATTAAACTTTAGCCAGGAGTGTTGATTGCATTTTTCTGTTTAAAAATTTATGTTAAACTAGAAATCACTTCACATTAAAACAGATAAATCAGCCACTGGATCAAATTCAGCCTTTGTGTAATGTAACTGACTGCTAGTCTGTATAATAACTGGATAATTTGCCATCCTTTTCTTATTTTTAGTTAGGAATACTATTTAATCTGCCAAAATGCATGAAAAATAAAATACGTAATAAAAAATGCACAGCCAACAGACTAAATATACTGATATATGGTATTGCCTCTGTTTCCTTCCATACTGCCTCAAGGCAGCTGTAGCTCAGCCCACTATAGTAATGTTCATATTTTTTGCCACAAGAATAATCTGTCCTATTGTGATTTTTCATTTATTGGAACAGATTTTGCTCCTCATATTGAGGAAATGAATTATTAAGTGCATTTTAAAGAACTCTGCAGAGGAGTTTTATTCTGTGTCAATAGATATTAGTTCAAGTTAGTTGATAGGTTAATGATATTAGATGTTGTATTTCTATTTGTACCAAATTGTTTAAAGCCCTACAAGAAGGCTCCTGTCCCGCAGATTCTGAGATCACTAAAGTCCTTTAAAACATTGTGCTACAAAGTTTGCATGTTGATGTAAACATTTAGGAGATTAGAAGGACTCTGAAGGAGATGAAGGGCATCTCCAAAAACCACAGCTAATAAACAATCAGATCTTTATCAGCTTCTCTGTCCTTAGCACATATCACCATGGTGTAAAGGAGAAGTTAACAAGCTGGTTTTTACCCAGCTGTTATTTTTGTGAGACTTCAGCACCAGAAAGACCTCAGTTGTGTCATGCCCACGTGGCCACTCTGGGCATCAGGCATGCTGGGCCTGGCAGGAGAGGGGTAGATATTAAGGGTCAATTAATTTGGCATGTCACAAACAGATCCTACCTAAAAAAATATTCATCCTTCCTGGTGTGATCTGCAGAAGTTGCTAGTGAGGGAGTCAAATAAGCAGTGCAAACATCCTTCTCATCTCATTAATTGACCTGTGCCCACCAAATTTGGGGACAGTTTCAGACCTTGTCCTACATCAGGGGCACTGCCTGCAAAGGTGGTTAATGTAAGGCAAGAATACTTCTCTTTGGGTATAATTTATTCCCAAACTTCCATGGAAACAGCAGTGATTAGATCATTAGGAGAGGTTTTATGATTTGCATTATTAAATTCTGGAATTTATGCTGACTCTTCAAGAGGAAAATGATTAATCTTCTGCAGTACCCCGAGGCGAGTAGTGAAGTGGGTACCACTGGAGGTGAATAGCCTTCCCTAAGTAGATAAAAGAACTGTTCTTTTTTTTTCCCTTTCCATTATATAGTGAAAAACAAAGAACATGGCAAGCAGCAAAGCTTGTGTGAAGTAAATCCTCAAGCTAAACTCATTCTCGAAGGTCTGAAAACAATGGATATGATTGTTTCATTTTATTTACTTCAGGATGTTTACAATTGTTATAAACTTTGGTGCAGTCTGGACTGAGAAACAAGGAGCACAATAAAGAAGCACTGGTGGTGTTTCCTAGCCTCTATCCGGCGTGGCAGGGAGTGGGAAGCACTGGCTGCCTCAGCCCAGCACGTCAGCTCCCACACTTCCCTTCCAAAGGCTTTTGCCCCAGGAAGTGTGAAGGGCTATCCAAAATGACCTATGTTGAGGTGGCAGTTTGGTATCTGTCCCCTGCACCAGGAGACCCATGGCAGGACACCCCTCAGGGAATAGCACTATGGAAATACCACCAGGAGTTGGACTCAGTGATCCTTGTGAGTCCCTTCAACTCAGGATACTCTATGATTCTGATTTAACTCTTCCTCATATCCATCTAATTCAAAATGTGTCCAGACATATTGTGCAGGTATGATCAAGCTTCCTGAATTCTAACTGTGGGAGTTCGGGTGAAAACCAGTCCTGATAAAATACTGCTTACTGTAGTGTTTCTTACTGAGACAGGTCAACACCAAGGCTCAAATCTCCTAATACACAGCAAATGTTGGGTCTTGTTTTGGTGGGAGCCTCATTAACACAGCCCATTTTGATACAGATTTCTGTCTACCATGCCTGTAGGTGGGACTCCAAGAACATCAGGGAGATTAGTTTTTTTCCCCTCCACTGAAGACTCTAATTCTGGAAAGATACTAAAAGCAGCTCAAACAGCAAAACAGTACAAGGAAGGCCCAGTCATTCTAGTAGTTGAATATTACGAGTTTCCCAGAGAGTTAGTGAGGTGCTAACAGGAGGTACTAACAGAGATTATCTGTGTTCCTAGTCTTGCCCTCATCACTCTAAAAGAATGAAAATTGCGTGTGGTACTCTATGAATTAAATACAATACTGTAATTGCTCTTGGGTCATTGGGAATGTGACACTTTGTCCTGGTTTATTGTAGAAATAATCCTAAAGCATCTGAAAATTGAGAGCAATTCTAAGATGCTTTAGCATCTGAAAATCATTGCAGCAAGATATATTTATCCAATATTGACTAAGAGGACAACTTTGTGGAAAAAAGTAATGATGACTATTTCTCTTCTTTGAACAGATAACACAGCAAGTGTTCTTGTTAGACGTGAAGGATTCAGCCGCCAAAAGCAGGACTTATACCTTCTCCCTATTGTGATAAGTGATGGTGGGATGCCCCCACTGAGCAGCACCAACACCCTCACCATCCGGGTCTGTGGCTGTGACAGCAATGGCTCCCTGCTCTCCTGCAACGCCGAGGCTTACATCCTCAACGCGGGGCTGAGCACGGGGGCTCTGATCGCCATTCTCGCTTGCATTGTGATTTTGTTAGGTAAAAAATCTTCTTTCCTTATTACGACGCTTGTTTGTGTTAAAGTTTCACATGGCCTTTCAGCTCCAAGATGGATAAATTTCTTAGCTTTAATTTTTCTAGGGGGTGCTAATCTGCCTGGAGAAAAGAAGGTTTTGGGGTGACATAATTATGGCCTTCCAGTCCCTAAAGGGAGTCTGCACAAAAGATGGAGAGAGGCTATTTCCAAGGGCCTGAAGTGACAGGACAAGGGACAATGGCTTCATACTGACACAGAGTAGGGTTAGATTAGATATATGGCAGAAGATTTTCCCTGTGAGGGTGCTGAGGTACTGGCACAGGTTGCTCAGAGCAGCTGTGGCTGCTCCATCCCTGGAAGTGTTTCCAGCGAGGTTGGATGGGGTTTGGAGCAACCTGGGCTAGTGGAAAGTGTCCCTGCCCATAGCAGGGGATGGAAAAAGATGATCTTTAAGGTCCATTCCAACCCAAACCAGTCTGTGATTCTGTGATTCTATGATAACTGCAATAGCAAAGAATTTGTCTAGGTGTGCTTGGAGAATGTCCTCTTGTGGCTATTATCAGTTAATCAGGGACACTATTTAAAGGAGGTCATGACATTCAGTTTTCAGTTTTGTGATCTTCCCTGGATGACAAGTTCCTTATTGAGGTCAGCCACGATTAATGGCTCCTGTCAGCTATTTCCCTTGAACCCGTCTTGTGTTGAAGGCAGAAGAATGGCTCAGAAGATGTGCTTTTAAGAAAGTGCTGTAAAGTGTTTCCTGATGATTTGAAAATATTTAAATAATAATTTTTGAGTTGCCCATAGTAATTTATAGTCTTTCTTTTGTCCTGTGTAGATATTTCATAGAAATTTGAAGAAGGAACAAAATAACACAGATACATTTGGAGGGGTTGCTTAAGAAAAATTCCATAGTAATGGAAATGACACATGGAATTAGAGTTAAGCTTTGGGCTTACAGGACAGAGTAAAGATTCATCTTGGTTTTGTAGCATATATTCATGTGATTGGGCTGGTCAGAGGTAGTGTCACAGTGCTGGAGCAGCACTAGGGGCTCACAAATGCTTTCCTTGAATTGGTCTTCTAGTAATGAGCAATTAGTAAGCACAGTGGTATATGGCCCAGACAGAAAGCCTCAGGTCAGTATGTTCAATTCTGTGTAGAAACATCCCTTTTACCTAACAAGGTGTGCTAAAAATGCAGGTGTTAGCAACAAGCCAGGATGAACCTCAGCACAGAAGCTGAGGGTTCAGTGAAAGCAATAATCTATTTAGGAGATAGGATCTGCTGTCTAACTTAATTTTTTTTTCTCCTCTAGTCATTGTAGTGTTGTTTGTGACACTGAAAAGGCAGAAAAAAGAGCCTCTGATCGTTTTTGAAGAAGAAGACGTTCGAGAGAACATAATTACTTACGATGATGAAGGTGGAGGTGAGGAAGACACTGAAGCATTTGACATAGCTACTTTGCAGAACCCTGATGGCATCAATGGATTTATTCCTCGGAAAGACATCAAACCTGAGTACCAGTACATGCCAAGACCAGGGCTTCGGCCTGCTCCTAATAGCGTTGACGTTGATGATTTCATCAACACAAGAATACAAGAGGCTGATAATGACCCAACTGCTCCTCCTTATGACTCTATCCAGATCTATGGCTACGAGGGCAGAGGCTCAGTGGCTGGTTCACTTAGCTCCTTAGAGTCAGCGACAACAGATTCTGATTTGGACTACGACTATCTACAAAATTGGGGACCTCGATTTAAGAAACTTGCAGACTTGTATGGCTCCAAAGACACTTTCGATGATGATTCTTAACAATAAAGTTTCAGATTTGGCCTTAAGAACTGTGTCTGATGTTCTGAAGAATCCAGAAGAAATGTAAGCAGGTATTTTTTTAAAAATCAAGAAAAATCTCATTTAAACATTTCAGTTTGACAGAAAGGATTCCTTTGATAAAAAAGGACATCAAAGTGGTAAATACTGTGAAGTACCTTTTCCTACAAAAGGCAAATCTTGAAGCTGGCTGCCAGCTTCACTGAAGGAAAAACCCACTTCAGAAATACAAAATATTTAAATGAAGGAAAATGCGAAAAGCGAACCTACAAATAAGGGAAATCTTTTATGTATTATGAACATCTAAGTCTTTTATGTCAAAGAAGCTTCCACAAATTAGAAATGAGAACAGTTCTGAGCTGTAATTTCGCCTTAAACTATGGACACTCTATATGGTAGTGCATTTTTAAACTTGAAATATATAATATTCAGCCAGCTTAAACCCATATGATGTATGTACAGTACAATGTACAATTATTATGTCTCTTGAGCATCAAACTTGTTACTGCTGATTCTTGTAAATCTTTTTGCTTATACTTTCATCTTGAACTAATACGTGCCAGATATAAAAACTCTGTCTTGTTGCAGTGGGAGGAGCCCTATTTCTATGTCATTTTTAATGTATCTATTTGTACAATTTTAAAATTCTTATTTTAGTATACATACAAATATCAGTATTCTGACATGTAAGAAATGTTACAGCATCACACTTATATTTTATGAACATTGTACTGTTGCTTTAATATGTGCTTCAATATAAGAAGCAGACTTTGAAATAAACTGATTCTTTTTTAATTCTTGTTCTGGTTATTAAGCATATAAGGAAAAACATAGTGTTTCTAATGTCCCATTTCTAGTTCTGACTAATTTACTACAATTGTGACCTTTTAATAGCCTTATTTATTATGTGTTTGTAGTTGGTTTGTTGCCTTGTTAAGTGATTATTTAAAACTCAAGTACATTTTACAGATGTTTTTTAGATTAAAACAAATGTAATGTCTGGTGAACATTTTGTACCCTCTCTAGCTACAGCTTGTGGCTGCTCCCGGAACACAGTGAGAATCGTCATAGACCACTACTGTGTTTTCTGGATTAAATTAAGTGTAAGACTTTTCAATATTTCCCATGTAATATGCATTTATCTTATATCTTAGAGATCCCAGAGGTTTCTGAAGTGACTTTGTAAGTGGACAGGAGTACTCTGTACTCACAATTTGCTGTGAGTTTCTGTATCTGTGCTAAGCTTCTGCGGGTTCTAGAGACTTAAATCTGACCCAGTTTAGCTAGAAGTTCCCTAAAGACTGTTCTACCTGACAATTACCTTACCTGAGTAGTAATTAAGATTCCAGCACTTCTTTTTTTTTTTTTTCTTTTGATTTATTTTCTCTCTTTTTGCAGTAGGATAGCAGTGGCTGCGCCTAGGAAGACTTTCTAAGCTGTGCCAACAGAAACACAGAGTTCTCTCAGAGTTCTTCCTTGTAAGGGATGGTTTTAATTGAAAAAATGATCTATAACTTCTTTTTATATTAGTTCAGAAGGAACAAGGGATTGGAATATGTTCTGCACATCAACATTTTCCTCATCTGTGTACAGCTGTACTTCTGCTCAGTTTAATACAGTTGGCTCTGGAGGGTCAGAGATCAGCAGCTGCAATATGGGAAGAGGCAATAACTAGCAACGATATGCATTTTCCTACTGTTCATGTTACAGACCCTGTCCTTCATTTGCAGTCAGGTACCAAACTGCTTGATCTGAGAGGAAATCTGATTTGTTGGTGTATTGCTTTTCCGAAGATCCCCATATATGTAGTTAGATTAAAATTTAACTCCTTAAAATTCAGCTCTATATCCATAACATATTCACTTGTCCCATTATATCCCTATGTTTTATAAGGCAGAGTTTGCTAAATCAGCAGATTTGCTCTACAATGTTTATTGTAATATTTCGCTTTATTATAGCTGTATGCATTCTATATAATTCTATAGTTTATTATTAACTTGGTTCAAATTTCTTTGGTTGTTGATTTTTCTCTGTTTATAATCCAAAGAATATTTTGCTAGATTTGCACATTTCTCCATTATAAATTTAAATAAACATTAAAAAAAAAAAAAGACAAAAAGAAATGAGTATCAATTTACAAATTAACAAATTGAAATAAAAGAAGTCATTAGTAGGACTCCATCCTCATTGATGCTATCTGGGTTTCTTTCACTTCTGAGCAAGTTTTAGAATTAATAACTGCATTTTCTACATTTTTATGTTTAATTTTTAAGAAGGACATTGTCAACTACATTTTTTAATAGTTTTAAATGCTTTGAGTTTTAGTCTCTATTGTTTGTAGCTCTCTCGTAGATGCTTGCAAATAAATTTTCTTTCCCTGATGGTTTTGTCCTTTTTCATTTGATTATTTTTCCCCTTCCCAGTGAACATGCAATTATCATAGAGCTTTATTAAGTTAGGCTTGCTAATCTCAGCCAACACTACCTCTGAAATGCTGGGAATTAGCCTCATTACGCATCATCTGCGGCACCTCAAATGAACAGTGTGTTTGGCACAACAACAGGACGTTTATTTGTGTTAAACTTCATTGCAGCCCTCGCAGGAGTCTCAGGTTTCCGATCTGAGAGGGTACAAACCAGCCCAGCACAGCAGCACTGGCTGAGTCCCGACACATCCGAGAAGGCTGTGGACTGGGGTTGTAGTTTGTCGCAGTGTTCCCAAGGATCTGAGCGACCTGGGAAGGGATTGACTTGCACAAGTTGCTTTTAGTGTAGTCTCTCTCTCTCTACCTGCCTGAGCTCAGGGAAGGACTGAGCCTCACATCCATGGAAAGCAACTGAAAGATTAATTACAGCTTCAGTGGGTTTGGAGAAAACCCTAATTAAAAGGAGGATCACCACAGCTGAGCCAGGTAAGGCAAAAGACAGTACAAGTGCAAATGGTGTTTTGGCTGTAAATCCTGTCTGAGGCATCGTTTTGGGGGGGAAGATACAACAAAATCCCTCCAAATAACCTCAGTAAAAGACAGTGTGACGTTACCAGGAGTGATTTTTTTTTTTTTTTTGGTGAGCTGAGTGGATATATGAGCTCCTGTTGGCAAAAAGACACAGCCCCTTGTCTAGCTGTGTCTCACCAGAACTGGCGTTGGAGCACGGCTGCTGTGCCACTGCCTCCTGTGTCTCCGCAGAGCATTTGAACACCATTCCTCCTCGCTGGCAAGAAGCAATTAGGTATGCAAGTGCAGGGCTGGTTGCTAAGGGAGCTCTCAAAACTTCCACTGATAGGGAAGGGGAGGGTTGGTTTGGGATTTTTCAGATCGCCACTGTCATTTTTCTTGCCATGATGTCAAGCAGGCTTTGATACCATGTCAAGGGCTACAAGCTAGCGAGTTCACCACCAGCATTTCCATGATCCTGTGTGAGATCATGCCACAGAGACTGCTGCACCACGAAGGAGAAAAGCCTTTAAAGAGCTTGTGTGTTTTCTTGCTCCATATTGTTGACTGACTGACAAAATAAAATGCTGAATTTTACCTTGTTGCTGCTGATAAACTCACAGAGAAAGTGAGGAATAGGAATTTAAATAAGGCTCACAAAGAGGCAACATTAGCTTTCTGGGACCTAAAAGCCTGGAATTCTTTTATGTCTAGCCCATCCAGCAGCATTCTTAGAATGACATGTTTTTATTGAAAGGGTCAGTAGACAAAAATCTAGGTAGGACCTGTGCAGGTTTCTCCTTTGGTCACTGATCTAAATACTGAGCTACTGTTACCAACAATTGGCACCAGAATCATTCTGTATTTTATTTTTAGAGAAAAAAAAAAGGAAGAAAATGGAATGGCTTGGGAAAGGGAATGAGTGAGCTTGTCAGAGTGAGTTAGCTGCAAGCCTCTGGAGCTCTGCTATTGTTTTCACTCCTTTGGGCTGAGACTGGGAATGAACCAGTCAGACCCAGTTCCATGCCCAGCATGCTCCTGCACAAGTTCTCCTTTAATATCACTAATCTCTGCATTTGATGAGGAAGACAAACCTGACCCAGCTGGGCTGGCTGCAATTACCCAGATCATAGGAACAATTTTAGCCAACTCAAATTTATGGATTCACAGTCATTGAATAACTTGTTTCTTGTACTTCTGCACAAAGTAGCTGTGCAGGCCTTGCCCAACCAGAGTGTTTGTTTCTCTCTCCCTTAATTAATTGCAAATCGCTTTGCTAAAATTGGGTCTTCTTGCTCGCCACAGCAGAGGAAGTGCAGAAGCTGCACCTCCACACCCAGGCAGCAGCTTTGGGACGTGTGACACAGTAGCTTCAAACGTGTGTACATACAGAGCACTTTGCTGATGTCCCAGACCTCCCATCTCCTGGATGGAAGTGGTGGGTTGTACCCACCAGGTGCAACTGCTTTCCCGTGTGGGAGTTTCGGCAGCGTACATGGAGCATGTCATGTCTCTCCAGGGAAAGAAAGCACAGAACACAAAGAGGGAGAGACTTGCTTGGACTGTGTGTGGCTCTCAGACCTCTTTCCAGGTCAGAGAAGGGTCCTTCCCAGGAGCCTTTCAGACTTTCCAGTGAAGTCAATTTGTGTTCTATAAATAATTAAATATTAATCAGGGGAGGGAATTGAACTTGAGATTTCCAAGTCCTTGTGACTTCTCTAACTGCCGAACTCAAAACTTGATTTTTTTTCTTTTCTTTTCTATACTTGTTTAATCTATTTGCAGGAGCTTATAACTACATCAAGAGCAAATCTGAGGGGGCAAAGCATCCTGTGGTTGGGGGGAAAACCGCTTTGGAGTGGCAAATGTATAGCTGGTGGTGATGGGGAATAAATCATCTTCTTCTACCCCATACTGTCAGAGCTGAGAATAGATGCATCACTCATTTTCTGCATTTCTTTTTCCTTCTAGGCTTGTAAATCAGGACCAATAGCTAATTACTCAGCTATCTAAGTCTAGAACAAGACTTTACCCTGAGTCCTCTTGGCTAGGGCTGTTTGTCAGACTCTTGATTATGGGGGTGTTCTTTTAAAATAAATCAAAATAAAGGCTTAATATTTTGACCTTTAGGGGCTTTAAAACTAAAAAGAAAAAGAAAACCCAAAACCCTTACTCTGTAGTTTCGTTAAAGCTAACCCCTGAATTTTCAGACATGCCTAGAATTTTTGGTGGTTAGTGAAAGAGGTTTAGACTTTGTGGCTGCTTTGGACTGAGGTTACTGATTGCTTTCCCTATATTTTATTTCTTTCAAACAAGGGGAAAACATGTTTATTTTAATTGAACAGACCCATATGCTGATCTTGAGGTCTTTGTGCAAGTGAAGGGTTTGGCTTGTTGTTGTTTTCTTCTTTTCCACCTAAATCATTCCATGAGTCTGCGACTCACCGTGTTGGCTGCCAAGGCAGAATTCCTGCAGCTCCATCCCCAGCAGGACTTGCAGACACACCACTCCTCTCCCTTGCTAAATAGGAAATGCTTCTGTATTGTTCTTTGTACTATATGAAAGGCTTAATGGGACCGAGGGATGGGTTTTTTTGGTTGTTCTTTGTGATACATGGAGGTCTTAAAGGGACTGGGAGTGGGTTTTTTAGTCGTTGCTTTGGAGCTATGCTCTCACTTCCACAGCTACAAAGCTGGATTTCCATGTCCACATGCTGTGCTCAGTGCCCTATCTCTGGGTGGTAAGGAGCAATCTTTCAGGGAGTAATAAACTCCCTCATACTTGGCAGGACATCTCTAGAAAGCTCCATTGTTCTCCTGCTGCCAATGCTGCCCTTCCTTCCAGGGGTCTATTCACTCTGCTGCAGCCCCAGCTCATATTTTCCTTCTTCTTATTAGCACACTGAAGAAAGTCATCATTAATCAAACGCAAGCACATTTAGCAAAGTTCAATGTGTATGAAAAATTTATGTCAACCTTTAGGCTCTATGACAGTCCCAAGGCTTCACTTAATAAGTTCTATAATGACTTACTGTTAATGGCCGATTCACATTATCTCTTTGAGTTCTATTGGGCCTTCCAGTAACATTTTCTGTTATTGTTTCTGGAGCTGCTGTATGTTACCCAGACATAGAAGCACAACTGTTGTTTACATTCTTTACTTTCTAAAATGGAAAGTTGGATGTATTAGACTATAAAAACTCACACAGCATGATTTTCTCTCATGTCATGTGGCTCTAGCATAGTGCAATAGTGAATGAAAGAGCTGCTGTTTGTGGGGGCTGGCAGAAGCTCTTGGAAATGACTAGAAATTTGACATATCTTGTCCATTGATTTAGCAGAAATCTACACTTCAAAAGCTGTCATCATCCAGCCATCTATCACCCTTGCTAACAGTC